TTATAATTCTTTAGTATATTACTTGTGTGGTGTAGAAGAGAATTATTTACTGCTTGCAAACCAATGATGGTAAGATGATGTCATGGGGTAGGACTGGATAAGTCTGACTTCTTCCTACTCCGTTCAAGCATGTACTAGGTATAAGCACATTGATATTGGATTAGCATTTGTTGGATATGTGTAAAATTATGTGTGTTGACATATCAACTGTCTTTACATGCTTGAAAGAAAAGAATAAATCAAATCAAATCAATACCTCAAGGCACAAAGAACAGGTTTTTGTGCAGTCTTAATAATGACAACTACGTGAAGTAAGTAAAACAAGTGCTCCTTCTTCAGCACAAGTCTGTACCTGTAATGTGGTTCTGGTAGTTCTTTCAGCACATCTCTGATCTTTACCAGCCTCTCCTCCTCCAGCTGGATGGCCACAGCTTCCTGTCACACAGTTATGTTCGAAACAACACGTTAAAACCATTTATTGATGTTTTCTAAAGAGTCGGTTTTTTAAATTCAAATTTAATTGCTGGAAATACGAGACATCTGGCCATATTAATTATTCTACTGCAGATAGAGATCTGAGGTAAAGAATTCACAGCACATTTTCTGATCTACCATATACTGTATATTCCACTTTCTTTCCAAAGGAGGTGCACATGATCCGTACAATACACTCCACGAATGCACAAGAGACGGGTGTGAAATGTTTGTGTGTGAGCCACTCACAGCAAACTTGTCATACAGCTGGTATGTGAGCAGAGGGTTTGGCAGCTCTCTGAAATAAGCTTTACACAGGGAGCTGATACAGTGGATGTCCTGCAGGTACACATCCTTGTTCAGATCTGGCTTCCCGTCATTCTCAAACTCCCCCCTGGTTTTAGGAGAGGAGAAATTCACTTTAGAGCATGTTACACCTAATCAAAACTTAGCAGAGTGTACATTTACAAATATACGGTCAAATACAGTTGCACACACAACAACGTGCCTTAGTTTCTGTATATTGGACGACACTCCAGACAACCTGTAGATTCCATCCACAATTCCGTGTTGCTCAACAAATTCAGTGCAGCATCGCAAGACCTGAGGAACTGTAGGAAACAACACATGGCTCAAGTGAATGGGCTGATGGACAACATAAGCATAATATATACAATGTTCAGTTTATAAATGCTTGCACAAGAACATACACATTAAATTTTATCTCTTTATTGTAAGTAGGGTTTGTTTATCGCTAATATGTCATATAGCTACAAAAAGAATTAAACAATTCCTTCACACTGCTATCCCCGTTAATCCGTTTTTAAAGTTTACATGAACACTTGAGGAAGATTAGTTGTGGTTGAAACATGTCTATGTAGAATAGAAGAACCACTGGGGGCCAAACACATTATAATTAACCATCACCTGCCTTGAAATTTCTAGAGGCCATGGTGCCTCCTGATGATTGTCAGACATGTCAAGGATGAAATATATTGTGCAAATAGGTACTAGCACCATAAAATTTTCAAAGCATGACATATAAGTACCATATTAAAATAATATAATATACCCATGCTCATAGACATATACACAAGATTGTAAATTATGGCTCTAGGGAGAGCAATGTGAAACATATTAAAAGATATTTGAAAGCTTGCACCACAGACTATATATAAAAATGTGATCCACCACCACTTCCTGTTATCATGTGAAAGTGAAGCCAAAATACTGCGAATACAGCAGTGGTCATCTGGCACTTATGATACATTTTGCAACCAGATCCTTCACAGTTCCAACCAGAGCCAGAGTCGCTATATCAGGCAACCCAGTCTCACAACAAAATGTATAACAGCTACTTTGTTCTGAAGCGTAAAAACGTACCACTCTCACAATAACACCTCGACTGTTTTAACATGGCAGAGTTTTTCTCAATCAAAAATTGAAACTGAAAGTATGATTATGTTTAGGCACAGAAACAAGATGGGTAAGGTTAGGCAAAGGCCCTGGGGTCAGTTAAAACACACAAAACAGCAGCAGACACAGGACATGATCTCCAGTTCTCTGCATGAAAGTCAGGTGTTTGTTTGACCCATCCATCCACCCCAACCACAAGGTTTTTAACATTATAGAGTTCCAAACCGTACACCTTCAGTGTAAACTACATGTTATTTTTGGATCCACAACGGTAATGAGCCATTTTGATGTTTGACAACTGCCATAATACACCAAGAAGAAGAGTGACACTTGGCTGCAATACAACAAACGTTGCCATGTCACAATTCTACAGCCGTTATTGTGACACTACTACATTTTATGCTGTGGACCAATATTATACATTATCCTGTGAGACCAGGCTGTATCAGGCCACCAATCAAAGCTGTCAAGCCATTTGAAATATACCCCCTTTTAACATCATCAAATTATGAGCATTTTGTGGCCTGTTTAATGAAATGGCAATTTATTTTGCAATTTAGTCATACACTGCATTCCCATAAACTTATCATCATGCTCTTTTGGTGTCAAAACTGAAACAGAAATGCAACCTGTCAGTGCTCTTATGAAGTCAGATTCCCATCTGTATCTGGTAGGACCTGTCGCTATTCTGCCTCTGACTACCTCTACTCACAATCCTAATCTAAACCAACCTAACCGACGAGGGCAATGAGCATCAGCCAGTCAGATACAGAGTAGGGCCAACTCAGACATTCATGTTCCCTTTCACTTCGGGGCTCCTCTGACTTTTCTTCAAATTAAATCATCAGATCAGATTTGAATTTGTCCAAAACTATGGTTTATGACCACATACCCAGAAAAGTAACAGATGTAGTGTGTGTTTAGTGCTAATTAGCAAATGTTAGCATGCTAACATATTATGCTATTATTGTGATTACGGTGACCATTATACCTGCTAAACATCAGCATGTTAGCATGTTGCAGTGATTCTTCACACAGAAATAATTGAACATTTACTTTAAAAAAAAAAAACACATAGGCACGTATTTTATTGGTTTCATATCTTCATGAAAAGCATCACTGCATAATAAGAAACTATTATAAAAACTAAAAATGACAAATATTCTGACCAAAGAATAGCTTTCAAAGAGTTGTCAGCCATTATCATGTTGAGTGATTCATCTACCAGCCTTTTAGAGGAGGCTGTTTGTGGTTTTGAAATATTCACAAAAACACACTGGGTAACTCCTCTTCCACCAGAATAATGAGCATATAGGTACTGCACAGTACATCCATATCTATTCTGTATACTGTATAACCATTGTATGATTACTCATATCTACTTATCTTCAAAGCAAGGTGTTTAGTGAGCATTATACTGGCTGTCATTAAAAGATGCTTAGAGGAATAAGTCTGCAGTAAAAGTAAAGTAGAGCATGTTTAGAAGTGAGAGCATGTTACTCACTCTCTTGACTGGAGGCGGTCAGGTGCTCAATCAGATCACATCCAAACACTTTCTCTTTGTTCCCTCCTTTTCTCCGAACTCTCCGCATGTCTTCCTGTCTGCTGAGCTCACCTCACATTCAGACTGGTTCAAGCTGCTCAGTATGTGACTCTCAGACCAGATCTCTGGCTGTCTGAAGGGCTGCTGGATGTGTTGACCACGTTGGTTAATGTGACACTGGCTTTGCAGAGGTGCTGTACATTTCAGACATCTGATTGTGCTTCTGCTGCTCCAGTTTCCTTTACTTCAGTGCATTTTGTCGGCTGCAAGTTGCTTCTTCTATAAGTCGTGTTGCACTGGAGTTAAAGCTGGAGTGTTAGGACATACTCTGGTTTATCTTCAACCCTGCAAAAACATAAATAAATGTTTCTGTGTGCAAAAACCTGCTTCACGTTGCAAAGAACAATCTCCCTGACAATCAAACAACAAATGGCACTGCATCCTCAGTGTGCATATGTGGCTCTCCACTTCCCCCTGATGCACACAATTTATGTTCGAATGAAAGGCCACACCCTTGCCTCTGAACTTCTCCTATTCAGAGAAGTGAGCTTGTGAATGTTTCATTCCACTCACATCATAATGTCTTTCTAGGCTGGTGGACCCACCTAAACCTTCAATCTCAGCATCAGCCTGAGGACTGATTTCTTTACAGGCCCGGTCTGTCCTCCCTGTCCGCATGTCACAGCCATTGCGGCCCCTTTCTCAATGTAGCGGAAGTCGAGCGCTGTTTAAGCCTGAACGTACAAACTAATACAGACATTCAAACTCACTCCCCGTGGCCTCCATCTTCCTGACACCTGCCACTGCTTTTGTTGTCTGCCATCCCTCCCTATCTGTCCACTTTTAAGAAAGAGTTTCAGGTTAAAAACACGAGGAAATATACAAGTTAAAAAGTGAATATGAGTTTCCTACCTTCACTCTGCATCAGCACACGAGAAGCAGCATAAAATGATGACGCAAGAAACCACCAAACTTCCCCTGTTAACTTCCTGAGTGTCTCTCCTTCTCTTGTGCTTTCTCTCTGTATGTAGTCCACAGTATCTCCACCTCTGCTGACTGAGAAGGGAAATCGTATGCTGCATTTGTACAATACATATATTTCCCTTTATTTATGTCATTGCAGTACAAGTTCCTGTTTGTGAAATTCTCCCTGACAGCAGAAATGGACAGTAAATATACAAGATATAGGGCAAATTCAACTGAGGACAAAAGACGAACATGTTTGGTTCCTTTCTTTTGTTTGTGTCAGTTGTACATTAATGCTATGTGACACTGTTAATCACTACAAACTAAAGCACCACACAGAGCCTCATTGAATATTAAAAAAGTACCACAAAGTACTACACAGTTATTCACTGACACAAAGACTCAAGGTACAGTACCAGCACAATTATCACAATATGGAACACAACATAGCACAATTATCAGCACAATTATCACAATATGGAACACAAATTACTACAACATGGTTCAAACTGCTACAAAGCATGACTACTATCTTGACTACCATCAAGCATCATTTATTACTACAAACTATTTCAAAGCCCCAAAATTCATATCACAGCGGAAACAGAAATGACCACAGTTTAGACTGCAAACAACAATGGAAAATATGCATTAAATGGGGCTTTCAATGTTAACTTTAAATGGCCCCCAGATCTGGAATCCAGATCAAATCAGGATGAAATTCAGTCTGGTGATAGACATAGACACCCTACATATGTGTGTCAAATTTCAAACAAAAATAATTTCGATAACATTTGACTGAGATAGGTCCCCCCCCCCCTTGTTAAAGATGTTTTAAATTATTATTTTTCTTTTAGAATTCTTTGTGGCCTTGCCCTTTGACCCTTTTCAACCAAAATCTAATCTCTTTTAGTGTTGGTCCCCATCGATGTCTGTACCAGGTATAGTGATGGTCCATTCAGTTGTTTGTCTGTAATCCTGCTAACCAACAAACAAACACACAGACACACACACAGAACCAAAAACATAACCCCCTTGGCAGAGTTAAATACCATGAAATGATAAAAAATAACCACAAAGAACACTTATTGTAAAACATGACAAAGAATAAAAATACCTAGAATACCAAAATACCACACAACAAAGTACCACAAAATGCCATTTGCATATGCATCTAACTCTTAGCACTTTTTGTGTTTTTGCTGCATTCAGTAATCGATGATCATTTTGAGATTACATGAGCATCTTAATACAATCAAATGTTGTATGTAATAATGACAAAAATATTACACTAATTATAGTCTGTGGTATTTATTTTTATAACAATCCGTTCATAATTTAAAGTGTTAAACTTTAGTAACCTGGGTTCACCATTTGAAGTCGCATGCAATTAGTATTTACGGTAATAAACGTCACTCGTGGCAACAGCTGCGGCTGCTATGGTAACCTCGTTTTAATTTTCTGTATGTCCCATAAAGGCGGAAATAAAGCTGAACTGTCAGCCTTGCTAACGGTAAAAAAAGAAACACAAACATTTATCAATCTGTGTTTATTGTATATGACAGAAGATGCTTAAGTAAAAAAAAAAAAAAAAAAATATCTTATTTTTCATACATGTAAATGGGGAGCGGCTGACACCGCCCGCCCGAACCGCTGGGGTAAAAACAACCGAGCGGCCCTCTCCTCGTACGAACCGCGGAAGAAATAACAGCACAGACGCCTTTCCCACCCCTCAACAATGATGAAAACAATACTCTAACCTACAATTTGTATACGTGCATTCTGAAAGTGAAACGGCACAAACGGAAGTGTGAATTTATTTATTTGTTTTAAATAAGAAGCTTCTGTGTGAGATGGAGAACTGCAGCTTCCAGAGCCAGGTGCTGTCCGTCATGGAGGTCCTGGCCAGGGCGGCTGTGGCGGAGATAAACCGACGCGTGGACGACAGCTGCGCTGTGCTCCGGCTCGAGGTGAGCCAGAGCCGGCGGGACATCGACCTGCTGAAGAGGAAGTGTGAGGTGATGGAGGCCGAGCTGAGGAGGACCAGGCTGATCGCCAGGAGGCGAGGTGAGCACGGTCATCAGTCAAGTTACTGGTTGTACTTTCTGCTTGTAAAACGTGGTGGCGTGTGTGTTTTTGTTCTTCTTCAGTGTTCTATCCTCCAGCAGCCGAGAGATGCTCTCCTTTAGTCAAAGTAGTTCTGAGCAAAGAGAGACAGAGCGCCGATTGGGACGGACAGATGGATGCTGAGGCTCAAAATCAATCCCAGCAGGTATATGTTTATTGATCTGCTTTATTTTATTAATCAGTTGATCATTTAGACTATTTGTTTCAGCTCAGTTTTACAGGTTTGTTTTAGTTTGACTCATTAAATGTTTACATCTTCTCAGCACAGTCGGTCTCTAGGACATACAGTGCCTTGCGAAAGTATTCGGCCCCCTTGAACTTTGCGACCTTTTGCCACATTTCAGGCTTCAAACATAAAGATATAAAACTGTAATTTTTTGTGAAGAATCAACAACAAGTGGGACACAATCATGAAGTGGAACGAAATTTATTGGATATTTCAAACTTTTTTAACAAATAAAAAACTGAAAAATTGGGCGTGCAAAATTATTCAGCCCCCTTAAGTTAATACTTTGTAGCGCCACCTTTTGCTGCGATTACAGCTGTAAATCGCTTGGGGTATGTCTCTATCAGTTTTGCACATCGAGAGACTGAAATTTTTGCCCATGCCTCCTTGCAAAACAGCTCGAGCTCAGTGAGGTTGGATGAAGAGCATTTGTGAACAGCAGTTTTCAGTTCTTTCCACAGATTCTC